GCCGGATTGACGCCGTTTTGAGGCCTCGGTGATTAAGCTCCGATCATTACAGCCGTGACCAAACAATATCTCCTGCTTGTCGGAGCACGAGGCGGTGTCATCAGCTACAGAAGTGAGGCGACGCATCGGGCGTAGAAGGTAGGTGGAACGTCTCGCCTGCTTATCCCCATCTAGTTTCCGGAGAGTCATCGGTTCGAATAGTTGAGCCGGAGTAGTGTGTGGCTGCGCTGATGCAGGCAGGAGTTCCCCTTGTCGGAGGCGAGGCGCGGCGGCGGAGCCGGAGAAGGCGCGGGCGCGAGGGCGCAGGCCGAGGTCGCCCTTGACGGAGGCGAGGCGCGGCGCGGAGCCGGAGAAGGCGCGGGCGCAGGGGCGCAGGCCGGAGACGGCGCGGGCGCGAGGGCGCAGGCCGAGGTTGTCGTTGAGAGTGACGGGATCGCCAGAGTAGTCGGTGATCGGATTGGCCATTTTTTCGCTGCTGGGCGTGGCGGAGATGTCCGCCATGACCCCGGGGGTGGAGTGCACCTCACCGTAAGGTACCACGTTTGAGCGCGGAGGCTCAGAGCCGGAGGGTGGCTGGCTGAAGGATGGTAAAGGACCAGAAAGGCACGACGTCTACTACATCCGACAGACAAGACGCGCCGACTAAGTAAGGGACGTCCACGTGACACGATTGTGGCACAGAGGGTGTGATGCTGGAGTATCGACATTCATGGGGCACGGCGCAGGATGCGCCGTGCTAGTACACCGTGTGTAGCGTGTGTGTGAATAGGGCGAGCAAGAGGGAGAGCACTCGCATGGGCCAAAATCCGTGACTTGGCGTACTCTTTTCCGAGCGCCTTTTAAATTTAAATTTATCCTGGATGTGAGGCTGCTGACTGCACTCCAAGTCGGCTCCAAGTAAGCTGGGAAACGAGTGAGACGGGGTGAGCGAGGAAACATGTATGCAGCCTAAGGCGCCCCACAATCGCTACAGTCTGTTGCGGGCGTTTTACGCGTTAAGAAAGCGTCCCATTAAGAAACCCTACCAAGCAATTTCCGCGAAAATCTAAGAAACCACGGCGCGCCGCAGGCGCGGCCCCAAGAAAGGGCCCACACACGAGTGTGTGAACAGGAGCCCCGCTCAAATTTTCTCTTCGCCTGCGGCGCGCGCGCACTTGTCATTTTGCCCAAGTCTGCGGTGTTCTGGGCGGTGTGGATGGAGGTGTGTGCGTCTTCCTGTCATCCCAAGACTGCTGACTGGCGCATCGGTCCAGCGCTTCCTTATTGTCATTTTACCTAAAAATTCCTAGATCCCGGCTGACCTGGGGTGCCGGCCGAAGCTAAGAAACCACGGCGTGGGGTGGGTGGGGTGGGTGGAAAGCTTAGAAACGGCGGCGTATGGCTCTGTTTTCTTAATGCCCGCAACAGCCTAAGGCGCCCCACAATCGCTGTCGTGGGATCGCTGAAAGAAAACACGGAAGGCGAGAGAGCGCCTTTTAAAATTGAGTGCGATCTCTTCCATGGCCTTCGCACGACTGCGCCTCATCACCAGCAACTAACGCCCAGCAGCGCGTTGGCCTGGCTCCGAAAGGTGGAGGAGATGCGCAAGTGCATGCGCGGCCGTCACTCCTACACTCTGGCGTGCGCCGTGTCGATCTGTCTCGCCTCCCTCTTTGCACGCGCCCGCTCGCCACCTCCGCCCTGCTCCCTGCCCGCCTGGCCCGGCGAAGAAGTGGTCTCCTCGTGGGAGCACCACGGTTCGCGCGAGCGGTGCTTCTGTGCCTACGCGGCGCTGGCAGCGCACGCACAGCCGGGCACGCCGCGTCTGCGTGAGCTGGAGGAGTCATGTCCTCGCTGGGCCGACTTTGTGTCGCTCGACGGCGGCCACTCGGCGACGATGGTCCACGCGTCGGGAGCATTTGCCATCGCGCTCGGATCGACCTCTGGCAACGCGAGCGAAAGAAAGTATGGGTATGTGCCCGACTGGGCGGCCGACCTGGGCTCCGGCTACGGCGAGGACTGCGACGTGAGCCGCGACCCTCGGTGTGAGGCGGTTGGTGCTCACGTGCTCTCGCTGCCACGGCGGCTCTACGTCGCCGACTGCTGCTCGCGGCCCGACGCGGCCAGAGGAGACGCGACAGTGGTGGCGGCGCGCCGGCCGGGGCCGCAGCCCGGCCCGTCGCTCGCCGACCTCATCGCGAGCGACGCTGCGAGCGCCTGCGGGCTGCTGCAGGACCTCGTGGCTGGCGGGCTGAGGCAGGTGCGGCGCCTCGACGCTTTCGGCTCCTGCGCCGCGGAGAACGAGGCGCGGCACACTCGAGCACACGCCCCTCGCGCCGGTCCCTCCCCACCCTCCTGCCCCTCCTCCTCCAGGAGCCGACTGCTGCGAGCGGCTGCTTGGCTCAGTGCTTCCACGTGGTGCCCGACGTGTGGTACCTGCACCTGCACACCACGGCGGGCGCGAAGGACATCCGCGCCGCCCAGCCGTACAACGCCGGGCTCGGGCCCAGCTTCAACGCCTCCGAGGCGAGCGACCCGGCCACCGCCTTTGGAAGGTACAACGCTTGCGTGTGCGAGCCGCGCGCCTGGGCCGCCGCAGGCCGCGGGAGGGGTTCGTGCCCCGAGGCGCGCCCGTCGGACGCTGCCTACCCCGCCGAAGCGGCGCACGCCCTCTGTCGCAACGTCGCAGGCGCCTCCGGCGTCGACCCTCGGCTGTGTCACGCCTGCCGGCCGCCTGCCTCTACATATTTAAACCCCCGCCCTGCACGATCTCGTGGTGTGTTTGACGTGTGAGAGGGGCCGAGGGAAGCCCTAGTCTGGCCGGTTTTCTTGCGGTATCTTGATGTATCTCTCCATATCTGACCGTATCCCGCCAAGCCGCCATATCCCGCCGCGGATACCGCGAAAAAAACCGGGCACGGACCGCCAGGGAGGGATGAGGGATCGTCTAAGCATGGATCTACGCGGCTCGGTCATCGCGGCGGGGTAGAGTTTCCAGGTTTTTTTTTCATATATATAGCATATAGGCATGGTATATGTCCCCTCAGGCTCGGCGTGTGGGTGTGCCTGTGCGCCGTGGGTCTTGTTCCTCGATGACGATCGAGATCGAGTATATTACACGTAGCTGTTGAGTCAGTGGCATCAAAAACACATTGACTCTCCTCAAAGCGACGACACACGACTAGACAACCGCCACCACGGAGAGATAACCGGACGAACCGACTTGGCACACCGATCAGAGCTAGCAATAACGGGGGCGCGAGCCTCGATGACGCGGGAACACGAGAACGAAAACTCGCGTAGCTCGGGCCGAGCGCGACGCCTCGTCCACCGCCGCGCTGCTCTCTCACTGCCGCGCCTTTTGGCGCGCCTCCTTGCCTGGTCGACTGCTGCCGCGCCCGCCGCTGCCGCCGCGCCCGCCGCCGCCGCCCTTGCCCTTGCCCTTGCCCTTGCCCTTGCCGCTTCTCCGCCCGTTGAAGTCGCTCATGTCCGCCGACGACTCGGCCGAGTTGCGCTTGTCCTTGAAGTGCTTTCCGAACCGCTGGTTTGCTCGCTCGCGCTTGGAGGCGCCGCTCGCCTGGCGACGCAGAGGGCGAGGGCGGTGAGGGGAGGAGGCGAAGGGTGGGAGGTGGGGGGGGTTCGCACTCTCCTCCCGCACGGCGGTGGCGGCGCCCCGTCCTGGGTGCGTCTCTGCGGCTCTGTGCAGCTCTGTGCGCTATCTGCGGCTCTGCGGGCGGCAGCGCGCGCCTGTCGCTTGGCGGGAGGCTCGTCAAACCCGCCGTCGAACGAGCGCGGGTCGAGCTGGACGCCCTTCTTGCGCGCGCTCGTCACGGACGCGATCTCGCGCTTCCGCTGCTGCGCCCGCTCCTGCGTCTTTGCCACCTGCACCGCCTTTCCAAACTTCTTGGCCGTACGCTGCTTTCGCCGCTGCTCGGCACCGGCGATCGCCTGCTGCTCGCCGATGATCTTGCGCTTGACGCGCTCCATGTGCTTGTCCGACTTGGACATCTCGGCAAAGTAGTCGTCCGGCCGCCGGTACGGCACGCCCAGCCGGTCCATGCGCGCCTGCGCCACCTTGACGGCGCCGAGCGCCTGGTTGTAAAAGGCGAGCTCGCGCTTGAGGTCGTCCTCGGCGTCCTCCACGCCGAGCGGCTCGGGCGCCGTCACCACGAGGCAGTCGAGCCACGCGGCGTCGTCCGCCTCCGGGTCGACGCCGCCCGTCAGCTGCTGCAGCTTGAGCTGCAGCGCCGCCTCATTGGAGACGGCCGCCTGCTGCCGGATTGGGCGCGACGCCTGCGCCTCCTCCTCCGCCTCCGCCTCCGCCTCCGCCTCCTCCACGAGTGGCCTCGCCTTCACCTTCACCTTCTTGACTGGCTTTAGCATTGCGAGCAAGGCAGCGCGCGTCGAGCGTCGTCGTCGTCCTCGAAACCAGGATTTCTTTTGAGTATGTCCGCCCCGTTCTCCGAGTAGTATCAGTCCTTAAATACAAACATGTCCAGGACAAGAAGAAACCGCTATACACGGCGCCAAGACCCCAAGTCGCAAGGGCTCTCTTCAAGTGCTCCAAGTGCTGACCGCGTCTACCTCTCCCCACTACCCCAAAGGTTAGTCAGGTGCCCGCTCCCGCTAAGAGCAAGGCAGCGGTGCTAGCGAAGTCGAGGAGACGAATAGGGGACTCGAGTCGGGTCGCTAGTGGTAGTGCGAAGATCAACTGTAGGTAGTGCATAGCGCCTAATAAGTGAATACGTCAAACAGTGCACGGGACGCCTGAGAAAAAGTGGAGATGGGTGAAAGGTCAAAGGAGGGCTACAAGGAGCCGGGCGGGAGACGAGCGGCGGGCCGCCCCCCCCCCCACCCCCCCCCCCCCCCGGCCGCCCCCCGCCCGGTCGGCCCCGGGTAGAGCTAGAGAGGGGGTCGACACACGACAGCGTCCCTAATCTAAAATCCGAGGATTAAGAAGGATTCAGGCATCGCTTCAGTGAGGCCAAAGTGAGTTTATGGATGTGTGTGAGAACGGTACGGGACACGAGGAGGCACGCGGACCAACTCGTCGGTGACTCTGCTGCACGCCGTTTCAGATTTTTTCTCAGCGTGAGCGAGACGTGGAAGGGTGCTCCACTGTCGGGTAGCGTAGGACGGGTCGGCCGGGGAGCATCAGAGTAGCCGTCGTGCTCGTGGTCGTGGGGTGAAGTGCACATATACACGCACATGTATTATACACACTCGAGCGCGGTGTGATCGTTCGCGGCGAGTACGGTACACCTCGTACGAGAGAGGTCGAGCGAGCGAGGAGAGAGAGTGCAAGAGAGTCAGGCTGACACAGCTCGCACACGAGACCGTCCCAGCTCCCAGCCTTCCGCGCGACCTGACAAGAGCTAGACGCGTGCGGTGCACCAGGAAAGAAGCGCGGGCGAGAGAACACCCCACAACACCGCCCACGAACAGGCAACGTGGGCGCGCGTCAGTGGCACCAGAAAAGATGGACAGGTCGATCGGGGGGGGGGGGGGGGCAAGCGGCGTCCGAGGGGGGGAAGGGGAGGATCCGTCCCCACTTCCGCGCAATCGGCAAGGGCAAGGGGGCGGGGCAAGGCGGGCTGGGGGAGGCCCGGGCCCTTGTTGGCCGCGCATCCTCCACCCGCCTCTGGCGCCACGCGCCTCTACAGGCCGCCGCCGAGCGCCTCGTGCAGCTTGCCGAGCATGGCGCCCTCCTTGGCGGGCGGCGTGTCGGCGCCGGGCTTGGACGCGTCGCAGTTGGAGCCGTCCTCGAAGCAGGCGTACTGGTTGTGCCGCTCGGGGGCGGTGAAGTCCTGGACGGTCGCCCACGCGCAGGCTTGCTCGAGGGCGAGGGCTCCAGACTTGACCTTGACGTAGCCCTGCTCGCCCCAGTACTCGCCCCAGCTGTTGCGGACGATCCAGTAGAGGCCCTCCTTGGGGCAGGTGCCTGCCGCGAGGAGAGGGGGGGGGGTATGAAGGGACGCGTCAAGGGGCGCAGAGGCGGCGGTGGCGGCGGGAGGGGGGAGCGAGGGACGGGGAGGGGGGGGGGGGAGGGGGAGAGGAGGGGGAGAGGGCTGCAGGTGGGAGTAGCGCACCCCAGCCGACGACGGAGATGACGTGGTCCGTCATGAAGGAGCGCTGCGTGGCGATGCCGCCCGTGTACTTCTCGATCGGCGCCGCGTCGATGGTGCACGCGATCGGACCGCGCGCAAAGATCTCCTATTCATTGAGAACTCGATCTCGCCTCTATTAATCACTCATTTCTTAATCGGCCCGTGCGCAACGATCTCCTTCTGCATCGCGCGCGCGCCAGAGATGTGGCCGTACTCGGCGATGGTGGCGTTCGGGAAGTGGGAGAGGCCGACGCACTCTTGGCCGAAGGTGCCGCACGTGCGGGCCACGTTCATCGGCGTGCAGCTCCAGTCGCCGTGCGCGCAGGTCCCCTCCTGCGGCGAGGTGAGAGAAGGAAGGCGTTGAGGGGCCGCGTCCTTGAGGAGGAGGGGGGAGGCTCGGCGGCACGATCCTTGGACTCGGCCGAGCAGGCCATGTACGGCTGCAAGGTTGCGTACGAGATGCCGGCCGGCTGCGAGTGGATCCACTGGTATGGGCCGTCGAGCTGCGCCGCGAGGAGAGGGGGAGGCAAAGGGGGGGTGAGGGGGGGGGGGGGTGGAGGGAGGTGAGGAGGAGGGAGGGCGGGAGGGGGGAGGGGAGGGGAGGA